GAATCGCGAACACCGAATCGCGACACGCGACCGCCTGCCGAATCTCCGAGGCGAGCTTAGCTATCGCGCTATACGCTCCGCCTACCGACTTACCTGTCGCGGCCTACCGAAACCGCGATCCGGTAACTGGCGCCGTCACCCAGGAACTTTGTATACTAATACGCGACTACTCTGTACCAAGGCTAAATAAATCTTCTTGTTATTTTTATCTTACATTCCGCGTCCGCTTATTTCACGAACCCGGACTCCGACGAGCGAATACATCCGTGGCAACGACACCAACCGACACGCGGAGTACGGTTGTTACAATAGAACTGTTTTACTGCGTAATTGAAAAAATAATGTAGTAATTATATCTGACTTTAGAAGATCAAGCATACTATCTAAAACTTTATATTGATGAAATATTCATGTCGTACATGTCGTATACTTTAATGTGACTTACCTACAATAAGTTTTGAAATCAACGAATCTTTAAATCTAATAGTGTTTCTCTGTCCGCTCCAAGAATACTTAATAGCTAATATATTAGTCATTATTCGTCTGACATGTTCTCCAATGTCTTTCCCACCTTGTCGTTTTATAACAGTTTTCTTGGAAGCAAAAACATATTTCTTAGTTTTTATAAGGAAAAATTTGATAAAAAATTACACACATGCGCACGCACACGCCCACACATACAGATTGTTTGATGTAAATATGTTGCTCAATGTACTGTGAAAGTGGTGCAAATATCCCTGAATTGATCCCATTTCGTTATTAAAATTTATTCATTTAAAATGTGCATGACTTTGGACTATCGCACACAAAATGCATAGAACATAAACATAACGTAGCATAAGCATAAAAAAGATATGTAACCTACACAAATGTACATAGACATAAATGGTCTGTTCTTTTCAGCTGCACTATGAAAGTTTTGGCCAATCAGAATTGAGGAACAATAATTGCCATTGGAAAACATATTCCTAACCTAAATATTACTAATATGTGTCAAATTTGTGCAGAACTCGCGACGTAGGTGTTTAACACTAAAATAATTAAACAACATATTTTATAAAAAAAGATTTGTTAAAATGGATACGTATTATTATATTTACACCGCGATAATATCAGCAAGTTATTTATTTTTGCGAAAGCGTAAGCAAATAAAAAAAAAACGATTATGAATACGACCTATAAATGTACGTCGACCACTATTTGGTGATTTCCAACATCTTTTTCAAGAACTGAAAGAAGATAGGACAATGTTCTTCAAATATACGAGAATGAATCTGTTCACTTTTAATAAGCTATTAGATATATTACGATCTCACCTAGAGAAAAGAAATTGGAGAGCATTACCGGCAGAACAGCGGCTTATTATTATACTCAGGTAGACATAAGTGTTTTTAATTTTTATTTGAAATTTAATGTTTTCGCTTATATTTAATAATTTTGCTTTCCTTCAGATTTCTTGCAACAGGAGATCAAGTGTCTTCAATTGCATTTGCACATCGAATAGATGAATCCACTGTGTACAAAATTATTAAAGAAACAGCCACAGTGACAGTAAAAGTTTTAAGTCCCATGTATTTAAAGCCACCGAAAAAAGAAAACTGGAAGAAAATAGCTGCTGGATTTTGGAACAATTGGAATTTTCCCAATTGTATCGGAGCGATCGATGGGAAACATTTTATTATCAAAGCACCTCCAAACTCTGGTAGTTTATTTTTTAATTATAAAAAAAGCTTTAGTATTGTATTATTAGCAGCATGCGATGATCAATATAAATTTACGTTAGTAGACTGTGGTGCATATGGCAGCGCAAGCGATGGTGGAATATTTGCACAATCAGAATTTGGAAAGTGCTTAAATAATAACAATTTTAATATACCTATAGAAAATATTCAGTTGCCTCTATCAGATATAGAGATGCCATATTATTTTGTTGCTGATGAGGCATTTCCTTTATCGAAACGAATTATGCGACCTTATCCTGGACAGTTTTTGAATGAAAAAAAGTCTATTTTTAATTACCGATTATCAAGAGCTAGACGTATTATTGAGAATTCATTTGGAATTCTAGTCTCAAGATGGAGAATTTTTCAACGTAGTATATGTTTAAACCCAGAACATATAGATACAATAATAATGGCTGCAGTAAATTTGCATAATTTTTTAATGACAGAAAATAACAGTGTAACAGACGAAAACATTTATTGTCCTCTAAATTATGTTGATAGTGAAGACAACATTGGAAATATTACACAAGGTGCATGGAGGTTTAGTTTAAATAATGTAAATAATTTGCGACGTACGAATATACACAGAGCAACAAGAGAAGCCTATGTCCAACGAGACACTCTATGTGAATATTTATCATCACCACAAGGTGAAGTACCATGGCAATTGGAATATATTCATAGGGGATATAACAGAGATATACAATAAAAATGTAAGAGATAAATATATATTATAAACTTTATTTTATATATTATATATGAATACATAATAAAATATTTAATACATGTAACATTTATATTTTGATAACTATATAATAAAATGTTTTGTAATCTGTTTTACAGATTATACAATATTTTCATTATTTGACCTTTTAGTTGAGATTTTTGAGTTCCGAATTTTTTTTTAATTGACATGCAACTGCTTTTGCAAAAATGTCATCTTCATCCATTGCATCAAAGAATGTTACATTTGGAGCTTTGTTTTCTAAATGTGATGAAACTACTGACGTTAACTTTAAAAATGATTCTTCCTTCTTATCTGCTGAAGAGGTGCGTTTAATATTTTTTTTAAATCTTTTTGGTAAATTAGATGACATACCTGATGACGAATCAAAAGATAATGTTGGAGATACCAATTCTCGATCAAGTTCATATGAAATTTTACTGTTAAGTAAAGATGTTGAATACGCTGCTGGAGAAATTGCTTTGTTTTCTGATGTTTCTAAATACTCTAGTGGAGGAAATATTTTTTTGTTACTGCATGCAATACTTAATGGATTTGGATTATGTGATGAAGAAAAATCATCATCGCTATCAAATTCTGAAGATTCTGAAGAAGAAAATGAAGAGAATGAATGCGTTCATATTAATTCGTTTTGAATATTAATATGAAAAGGTTTGTATAATTCTGAAGATTGCACTACATTTGTAATATTTGCAGGTTCAGGATTTATAGGAAATAATCTGCATAGCTTACTATGTTTATCTGGTTCTTCCATATTTCTCTGGGAATAATTATCGCTATTATGTGAGCAAGATTTGAGAACTGAGTGAGAAGGAGAATGGAATGTAGAAGGTATCGATGAACTTGTAGAAGCTACTATTGCTGATGCATTCACAGTTGCTGACATTGATTTAGGCAATTTATTAATTATATCATCTTTCTTACTTGATCGAATCTGATTTTTTGATATATTTGAGGATCCTGCAAATAAAATATTTAAAGTAATAACTCAAATTATAGTTTTTAAATAAATATAAAAAATTAAATATATAAAATTATTAGCTATCTACTAAATATAAACTCACCTAACTTTTCTGTTAACTCATTTGTCTTGATTGAATGTAATTCATTGATTGAATGTTTCGAAGTCAAGTCCGATATATTACTTATAGTTCTAAATAAAATAATTTAAATAATTGAAATAGAAGATTATATAAACGTTTTATAAATGTAACAGAAGTGCAAGAATTAAATAAAATAACTTACTTCCTACTCTTGACAAATTTGAACAAAAAGTTCATTTGTTCGTATAAAAGAAATTGTGGTCTCAATGAATTTTCACTTCCATTTTTTGTTTCTATTTCCCGCAATTTCTTCTCACGAGAATATCGCTCACGCAATCTTGCCTATCTTGCTTGACAATCTGAAGCTAAAAGATACAATAATTAATCTATATCATTACATCAGTATATATAAGAAATACGTTTCTCCTGATAGCAAAATCAGTTAAAACCAGACAATTTGTTTTCAAAAAAACAGTAATTATACGCAATTAAGGAATAATTAGCTACTAACACAATTTGCTATCTTATTTATAGACAACTGTCTGTTTTCGATAGATTTTAAGGTATATAATTATTAAAAAGCATGAAATATTACTCCCTTACAAAAAAGTATTACTAGCTCTGATAAATTGGCCAATAATAAATTATTGTTGCTCTGTAATTTTATTATTGATAGGAGATATAAGATTACTCGTATCAATAATAAAATCACTGAGCAACAATAATTTATCACTGGTCAATTTTTTACAGTTAGTAATATTTTTTTATAAAGGCTGTACAAAATATTGATATAAAAAATGTATTCTATACCTGTTGCGTTTAATATTTCTCCTATTTCTTTCCAGGAATTGTTTCTTTTGTTAATATCTTTAAAGTCTTTTGATTCTTTGTTATAAATATGCGGGTAACCTCTTTTACGAGATCCACTAGTAATGAATCTTCTTCTCTTGAAGTCAATGCATTAAGCATTCCGCTCTCATTTTCCTCATTTTCTAATTTTTTTAAATAATATTTGTTATGATCTTCCATTTTAACGTCACTAATTTTTATTATTTTTACTGCACTCTACAAATTAACAGGAACACCTAAACAACCTGAACATATTTTGTTTCACTCCAACTTATTACACTAGTTCAGCAGAACGGTTAAAAAAACAGACCAACGATACAGTGGAATTAGTTTGTCATCTTAGTGAGAATTCGAGTCTGACATTTGATTGGCTGCACATAGACCATATGCATAGAAATTTCGTTCTTATGGATCTTTTCATTTCTTATGCATATGTTATGCTTATGTTTATGCTATGTTATGTAAATCAATATGGCGACATAATGCTAGATGCTCATTGTTCCATACAGTCTTATGCTATGCATATGCAGTTATGTCAATTTGTGTGCGATAGCCCTTTGTTAAAGAAAATTACTAAAATTTCGATGAAAATAACTTTTTACTAAAAAATTACTAAAATATCGATAAAGTTACTTTTTAATGAAATATTGAAATATGAAATGATACTGAAATGGGATCAATGCAAAACTGAAACATACTTCAGAAAATTATCATAATATTTTCATTAAAATATTATCACCAGGGTTTACTAGAAAATTATATGACTTTTTACTAAAAAAAATATTGAAATAGCGAGAAAAGTAATTTGTTACTGAAATTTTGATGAAATGAGAATGAAATGCGGTCAATTAAAAGAGATTTCAAATATATTTCAACAAAGTTTCAGTACAATATTTCCACCAAAAGTGTCCAAAACTTTCATCAAGCGTTCATATAAAAATAGAACAGATTATAATTAGCAGAAAAGTCATGTGGCATTTTACAAATTTCACATGATTTTACATGGCATCTTTTTTACTTCATGAGTAATTTTGTAATCAATGTGAGAAAATGAGCGGGAAGCACTGGGGCAGATTATGAAGACGCATAAATATGGATTATATATATATATATATATATATATATATATATATATATATAGACTTTGTATAAGACATATGGCTTACAACTTAGAATCTTGTTACAACAATGAGAATTAGTTGCAACATGTAGTATTGGCACTCTACATACCGCATTTCACGATCTGATAGTGTTACGAAAAACAATGTAGTGAATAATGTTCGGGAGTTGATTCCTATTGTTACTAAGAGATTCTAAGCAATATGCTATTTGTTTTACTAACTCGATTAATGTATCTTTCTTTATGTATGTTTGCAAAGTCTGTCTCATCACTTTCTGTTCGCTCAAATTCTGTCATTTTCCTAGTATCAAATTGTTAACAGAAATATTGTACAACATTCTACTCTCCGTAAGTTTAACATATGTAGGTAATATGTCAATAATACTTACAAACTGTTCTCGTTTTTCTTTTTCATTTACAACTATGTTTTCAAATTCTTTCATTTCTTCAACACTTTCCATTTGTAAAAATTCATTCAGATCTAATTATTACGTTTTCCATATATACTTACCTATAATCAGATACAAGGTTAACTGCATTAAAAATATGTGTATATACAGGGTGAGTCATTTTAATCGAAAGGCAAGTTTCTCGAAAAATATATATTTATTTTTATTTTTTAGTCATAAACAATTTATCTAATTGTTTAAATGAGACTGAAAGATCTCAAACGATGTAGAAAGAAAAAAGAAAAGTCCTCTAGGGCGATTTTTGTGAAGAACACGCTTTAGAAACCATATTGATACCCACACAGCACGTAATATTGCAGAAATATTGCAGTGATATTGTAATATAGTGATAATATTACATATCACAGTGAAATATTACAAAAATATTACTGAAATATTGCACCTTTGCATATGTCATTGAAATATTACAGAAATATTACTGCAGTATTACATACTTATATCATTGAAATATTACACATTTA